TTTTTTTTTTTTTTTTTTTTTTTAATATACCTCTACTTAGGTGAGGACCTTCTGCATTTCTTCTTGGCAAAAAAATCATGTTGCATAAGGGTCTGCTTAAAGCTTTCTCGGCACTTAGATATTGAATACTTCCATAACACTAGCATTAACGATCAGAAGGATAATTGGTCAAGCAACACAACATAAAATTTGTGCATAATTTTTGGAATGGTGGTTACTACTTTGACATGCCATTGTGTGAGGATTGTCATTCAGGGAAACTCAAACTTTGGAAGTTGTTTTATTGGGGAACTACTGTCTTCTCAAATGCTTGAACATTTTTGATTTCCTTCATCAAATAACTTCTCCTTGCTTTTTTGGTTTCTATCAAATACGTATCAGAGCATTGACCTTAGCCATAGATCTTGACATGGAATATCTAGTAGAGATGCAAAGAGAACTGCTGAAAATGAAGAACACTAAGAAATTAATGCATCCGGGTGACAACAAAGATGCATGAAATGGAAACAACAAATAAAAGTAATAAAAATCCTAGCAACAATAATGAAATAATGGCAATTAGAAGAAAAAGAAAATCGAAGGTAGACCGAGCGGGAAAAAAGGACCAAACCTATACAGGAGATATCAAAGACTCGCAATTGGAGGTAGAGGGTGGTTGCATGGTGCCGACCCTTCCAAAGAGCGTTCACAAATGCACAAAAGGATTTATAAATGGGTCTCAAAGCTTTTTCATGCACGGTGCTCGGAAAATAAAGGAGACACATGAACAAAATTTAGTGTGGGTGCTAAGGCCATGCAAATGCAAGAGAATAGATCAATGGGAGTGAGAACAACTAGCAAAAGGTGGGTTTTAGGGAAAGAACTACCAGACAGTAGAGGCTGTGTGGCTGTGGGGAGAGAAAGAGGCTGATGACAGTGCAAACAACTTCCTATTATACATTTAATGCCTACTTTTATTGCCTATCACACTGCAAAGAGGGTGAGGACTCCTACTTTTTGTTCCTATCACATTAATGCCTAAATTCCTAATATATTCAGCAATAGGCTACAATGTCACAGCCATTGCTATGCTTTCTTTGCCATGACATAAAAGGTAATCAAATCTTCATTACTCCGTAAGATGATTAAAATTTTTATGGCAACAATCAAAATCTAATGAGTAACACAATATGGAATAAAGGACCAAAACCTAAAATAAGCAGAACTACAATGAGTTGAAATGTCAAGTATTCTTCTTAAAGTAATAATCATCTCCTGGTTTCTAAGTTTATTTGGCATCAAAATTTCAGACCAAACTATATCCCACATCATGTACACATCACTTGTACATATTAGATAGAAGTTATTTGTAATGTAGTGTAGATCATAGATTATAATTTAATTCTTATTTTTTAATAAATCAATAACAAAATTAATGAATTAGATGCAATGAATTAGAAGGCCTAGTTAAATCGCTACTTGCGTAACCACAAATATTTTTCCACAACGAGATTGGAAAACCTCGTGTCAAGAATGTGGTTAAAGAATGATCGAAAAATTTTGAGCTTACCAAGCTTCTGTGCATCACCAAACCACTTGCTCATCAGATTTGAAATCCTAACGTTGATAAAAACTGCTCCAGACTCCTTTGCAATAGCTTTTGCAAGCATGGTTTTTCCTGTACCAGGTGGCCCATAAAGCAATACACCTTTCTGGGGACCTAAAAGCTTCCCGTGTGAAAATAACTCAGGTCTCCTTAGAGGAAGTATCACAAGTTCATATAATGCTTGTTTGATAGTCTCCAATCCTCCAATAGAGTCAAATTGCACACCAATGTTATCAGGATTTATAACATCACAGGCAATGACATCCTATAGAGCAATAATGAACGACAGATTCAATTAAAATGAACGATGTTTTGAATTTCAATTCAAAAAAAAATCACGCATCAAGAATCCACGGGCGTTAAGCTAAACAATACACAATCTTTTAGTAGGCTACTTATCACCTTTCAATGAACTTTTTATGTGGCTCTTGCACCATAATCCGCATACCATGAACAAGTATATGCAAGAAACAAATTTCTTATACATACAATAGTTGAAGACCTTTAATAGATGTGAGATTTTCGACCGAACCCACAGAACATACTAAAATATTCTCTTCTAACATCCGACAGCCCATGCATCATTTGCAAACAAGAAACTAAGAACCTGGAGTAATAAACAGAACCGATCATAAAACATTTAAAACAAGCTAGTACTCCACAGAAAGTTGCAAATATAGAAATAAATATCGAGCTTCCAATCAGACAGTTGAGAAGCCAAATTGGCGCATTCATTTCTTTTTCCTCGTTAGAAAGAAAGGAATAGGCACCTCATAAGGGTTAGTCTGAATGAGTGGGCGGCCCAAGCGCTTGGCTATCTCTTTCTTGTGCTCAAGAGCTTTCTTTGAAGTCTCGCGATTGGGGTCAAGATGTCGAAGACCTGCGAATAATACCAAGCAACTTAAAGCCGCACTGGCAGCGTAGAGTACCAGTTCCTGCAAGAACTTGGTCTCTGATGAAACCCCCATGGAGGATTCTCTCCCACCAAATACAAGCAGGAAAGAGCGAGTGAAAGCTTCGGATGAAATTCGACGACAATCTAAGCTGTTAAACTCGGGGGAGTCGGAGCTGGACGACGGAAGGACCGCAGAACCGGAGAAGGAGAAGACGAAGGGAATTGGGGTATTGATTTTGGACCAAAGGTTGGGCTCTTTGATTTTGGATTAACTAAATTGGCTACTGATTTTGGACAAAAGTTCGGGCACTTTGATTTCGGACCAGAAGTTGGGCTCTTTTATATACATATATATGTATGTATGTATGTATGTATGTATGTATGTATGTATGTATATCAACAAAATTTTGACAGAAGAACTCTTTCTGTGTGAAGTTCATTTAGATTTGCCTCGAACTTAGCTTTAAAATTATTAGCCTGCCAAACAGGAAAGTACCCTAAAGACAAAGGCAGAATGGGGGCCATTTCAATGCTCCATATTCGATACGCAATAATCTGAGTCAGAAAGTGAAAAGAGGTTGGGGTTCTGATTACTTTTACTCTGTGTGCCGTAAAAAGTCTGATCCTTTTTCCTTTCATTTCAAGTTCGTATAAATAATGTTCAAGGAATTCTCTGCTGAATTAGTTCAACCAAAGCGCATGGTTCCCATGTGTCGACTGGATGAAGGCTTGTTGCGTCGTCGGATCAATTCAGAGTCATTTAATCTGGGATCAGATCAACAACCTTCGCCCTTCATGC